AACTTCAATAAAATTAAAATTAAGTTAAAATTAGTATTTATCAACCCATAATTCATTTAGAACCTAATCTATATAACTTGTAATTCAAATTGACCTGGCCTCAACCTGACTGAACCCGGCTGTTTGGCAAACCTACCTTTAGTTATATCATTAATGCCCTCTCCACTTAAAACAAAAACTTGTCTCATGGCCGAACCCGGTTGTTTGGCAAACCGACCTTTAGTTATATCATTAATGCCCTCTCCACTTAAAATAAAAACTTGTCTCATGACCGAACCCAGTTGTTTGGCAACCTACCTTTGGTTATATCATTAATGCCCTCCCCACTTAAAATAAAAATTTGTCTCATGAATTTGCTTGACTATGTTTATTTCGTAACTCGCATAAAAAGGGTTACAACCCAAAAAATCATGCAATAAGAAGGTTGTAAGTCTATTTCTCTAACTTGCAAGCTTTTTTGACTAGTAACTCGAGACAAACCAATCCAATCCTCCTATATGTCATGTCTAGTTTTAACAGAAGAACATCCACCCTACGCCTCGCCTCTTTCAAAAAATGTGTTACAATTTTAACCATACAATTTAAATTATTAAATAAATACAGAAATTTTTACATTAAAAATGATTTTTTTATTTAATAATGTTTTAATTATAATTTAAATTATAAAATTATAATTTTCTTTTATCAAAAACGTTTTAAAATCATAGGACATAAAAATTGACAAAGTCAAAAACATGACGTGACATAAAGTATGATCTATAACTTTTTTTTTTACTGAAAGATCTTAAGAAGATCTTACAGTCGTGGTGCTGCAGTCGGTGGCTGGCCAAGACAAAAATAATAAAATAAAATAAAATAAAATAAACAAAAATTAGATCTGATAGTCGAGGTACTGCAGTCGATGACTGGCCAAGACAAAAATAATAAAAGAAACAAAAATTACTGGTTGGTGGAAGTGTATTTTATTTATTTATTTTTTTTTATTTTAGTTTTTGGTGGGGGTAAAACGTGGATGGATGCAAGAGTTCACAAAGAAGGGACTTTAAAAAAAATAAAAAAAAGTGAAATGTGTTTCTAAATAGCGCATGTAAGACATCTGTATTCAATTTGAAAAACCACCTGTCGTCAAATGCATTGCTTTTATGTTCTTGGTGAAGATAGGCAACCAAATAGTGCTTATAATGCTTTAAAAAGTATTAGCATGATGAGATATCACTTCAAATCTCTCCAATGGACTTATTCTTCATTGAATTTTTTTTTTTTTTGGCGTCTTGATATTGAGAAATTTCCTGGGTTTTCTTGCAAGAAAAGTGGGAATAGTTGGATTTTAATGTCGGACTATATACGGCGGTTAAAAAATGTACAACTTGAACTAAGTAGATGTATCTATCACGGAACTCACAACTTATAAATTGGCGAGTTTAGTACCAATCTTGCATTCAGCAAAGATACTCAAGAAACTCTCTGCATCGAATTTGATCCATTAGTTTTCATCTTCATATTTAATTTTCCTACATGGAGTTGGAAAACATTGCAGAGTTTCTTGAGGACAGAACCATATTAGTCACGGGGGCAGCTGGGTTTTTGGCTAAGAGTACATATCTCTCTTTCTCTTAAGCATGTGGTTGATTGAATTAATGTGTTTGTTTTGTGTTATGAAAGTTATAATGATTTTGTTCTGTCTCTAGTTTTCATCGAGAAGATACTGAGGACTCAACCAAATGTGAAGAAGCTCTATCTTCTATTAAGGGCTAAAGACACAAAATCAGCCACAAAACGCCTGCAAACTGAGGTATATGTGTTAATTAGTACAGCTTTTGTTCCTAAGTTTAATGTTATACAGATATATGTTAGTGCTTTTGATTTTTCTGGATAGAAGAAAGAAAACTAATGTTATCAGATTTAATGTTGATTAATTCTGTGTAGATCATGGGGAAAGAATTGTTTAGAGTTCTTCGAGACAGATGTGATTCGAGTTTCAATCCCTTGATATCATCAAAGGTGACAGCAGTAGCTGGTGATATTTCTTCCGAAAACTTGGGAGTGGTTGATATGAACTTGAGAGAAGAGATGTGGAGAGAAACAGAAATAGTGGTAAATGTTGCAGCCACTACAGATTTCTATGACAGGTATATAAATCAAGAATTATTACCATATAATAGTCACATGTTAAATGAATCAACATGCCCTGTAAAAACTTTGTTTTATGTTAGTGTTTTGACACTTTTTTGCACTTTTTTTTTTAAGATATGATGTTGCGTTGGGCATCAACACATTTGGAGCTCTCAATGTTATGAACTTTGCCAAGAAATGTGAGAAAATTAAGATGCTTCTTCATGTATCAACCGGTGAGTATACAAATCTTAGTTGTGTCCCATGTTCCTACTACAGAACCATAAATTAAGAACAGTGAACTAAGTTGGTTTTGTATACATTTGATTATTTTTCAGCCTATGTGTGTGGAGAAGGAGTGGGACTTTTACAAGAGAAGCCATTTTACATGGGTGAGACCCTCAAAAAAGCATCTAACTTGGACATTTTTGAAGAGAAGAAAGTGATGGAGGAAAAGTTAGACCAACTTCAGAAGCAGAACCTTAAAGATGAAACAGTTTCTTCTGCTATGAAAGATTTTGGTCTCAAAAGGTTCTCTAAAGATAACATATTCTTCTTAAGTTCATATACAAAACAGAACATTGTATGCATATCCTTTGCTGAAAAGCGTGCCTATTCTTTCTCTCCAATATACAGGGCAAAAATGTATGGATGGCCAAATACATATGTATTCACAAAGGCAATGGGAGAGATGCTTTTAGGGCATTTTAGAGGTGACCTGTCTCTCGTCATTATACGTCCCACCATGATAACTAGTACTTACAAAGAGCCTTTCCCAGGTTGGATCGAAGGTTTGAGGTAAGTAATTAGCAATTACCCTCAGATTCAAGCTGAAGCAACAATTTTCTATTCCCGTTCCTTTATTGTTGACTTCTCCTTTGTCATCTGTTCTTAATAGAACTATAGACAGTGTGATTGCGAGCTATGGCAAAGGGAAACTGGGATGTTTTCTTGCCAATCCTAAGTCAGTCCTTGATTTGGTGGGTGAACGTTTGAACTCCATGATTCTTTTATTGTCCTAGTACATTACCTTAGGCGTTAAGGTGATGCAAAGCCCTAACTTTATTAAGTCATGCAGATACCAGCAGACATGGTGTCAAATGCGATGATAGTTGCTATGGTAGCTCATTCAAATCAACCTCTTGATCTGATCATTTATCAAGTTGGCTCCTCACTAAGAAATCCAGTGACCTTCTCAAACGTTCGCGAGTTTACCACCCGTTACTTCTTTGAAAATCCATGGACTAATCGAAATGGGGAGACTGTTAAGGTTGGAAAGGTTACAGTACTAAGCACCATGCCTAATTACCTCATGTACATGACAGTTTGGTTTCTGCTACCATTGAAGGTTTGAAACAGGCTTAATTCTACTATTTATATACATTTAGAAGCTTCTTCTTTCCTTTTTCTCATCATTACTCATATTTCTTTCTGCCTTTTCTTTCATTTGAAGGTTCTACATTTGGTGAATACAATTTGTTGCCAATATTTTAGGGAAGTTTATACTCGTCTTGATCAGAAAATCAAACTGGTAATGAGATTAGTAGGACTTTACAAACCCTATGCTTTCTTCAAGGGCATGTAAGTATGC